GTCCCCTGGCACGTCGCCTGGCGCGTCCCTTGGGACGTTCCGCGGCGCGTCCTCCTGGCATGTTCCCCTTGTCAATTGGCTCTGGGGCAGCTACTATGTGCTCAGGCAGCTCGAGCTGAAGATCCAGATCAGTTCGGTCCGGATTCGGATGCAAAGGAGGATTCGGTCCACAACATTATAGAGCACAACCGCGGCATGGCACATCGCAATTCAGCACGACGCAGCACAGCACAGCCCTCGGCACGGTACATCCAGATCGATACATTCAGCATTGAAACTTGGCACGTTCCGTGGCGCGTCCCGTGGCGAGTCCCCCTGGCACGTCGCGCGGCGCGTCCCTTGGCACGTCCCGTGGCACGTCCATTGGCACGTTCCGTAGCGCGTCCTTGGGCACGTCCCGCGGTGCGTCCCCGTGGCACGTCCCTTGGCACGTCGCCTGGCGCATCCCTTTGCGACGTTCCGCGGCGCGTCTTCCTGGCATGTTCCCCTGTCAATCAGCTCTGGGGCAGCTGCTATGTGCTGAGGCAGCTCGAGCTTAAGATCCAGATCAGTTCGGTCAGGACTCGGATGCAAAGGAGGATTCGGTCCACAACATTATAAAGCACAACCGCGGCATGGCACATCGAAATTCAGCACGACGCAGCACAGCACAGCCCTCGGCACGGTACATCCAGATCGATACATTCAGCATTGCAATTGGGCACGTTCCGTGGCGCGTCCCGTGGCGAGTCCCCTTGGCACGTCGCGCGGCGCGTCCTTTGGCACGTCCCGTGGCACATCCATTGGCACGTTCCGTAGCCCTGGGAGTGCGGGGGCTGCGTAATTTTCATGTGTCCAGGCCACCCAGGGGGGTATCTAACATGGTTGTCCCGAGCAGGGACCACGTGTGTTAATGTGTCCAGGCCACCCAGGGATGTATCTAACATGGTTGTTCAGACCTTGATCAAAGTGCTTGTACGTGTCCAGGCCACCCAGTGGGGTATCTAACATGAATGTCCCGAACTGGAACCACGTCTTTTCACGTGTCCAGGCCGCCCAGGGGGGTATCTAACGTGACGTCGGACCCAACGCCGAATTATCAGGAAACGCACAGGGGGGCGAAAAGCGCTACCCGAACAAATGTCCCAATACAGAAAAGTGGTGGTGTTTGCTTGCTCTGGACAGAGGGTGGTGCGCTCGGGGCCTCTCCACGGAAGACATTGCGAGGATGTCTCGAGCGGGGGCGCGAAATCAGCGTGTCCAGGCCACGCAGGGGTGTATCTAACATGGTTGTCCCGAGCTGGAAACATACAGGCCCCCAAGGGGGATAACTAACATGGGTCTCCCGAGCTCAAACCATGCGCTTTTACGTGTGCAAGCCACCCAGGGTGTATCTAACATGGTTCTCCCGAGTTGGAACCACGTGCTTTCACGTGTCCAGACAACCCAAGGGGATAACTAACATGGTTGTCCCGAGCAAGGACCACGTGTTTTAACGTGTCCAGGGCACTCAGGGGTGTCTTTAACATGGTTGCCCAGAGCTGGTCCCACGTGTGTTTACGTGCCCAGGCCACCCAGGGGGATACCTAACATGGTTGTCCCGAGCTTGAACCAGTTTTGTTTACGTGTACAGGCCACCCAGGGTGATATCTCTAACATGATTGTCCCGAGTTGACACCACGTGTTTTTGCATGTTCAGGCCACTCAGGGGGGATGTCTAACATGGTTGTCTTCGGCAAGGACCATGTGTTTGAACGTGTCCAGGCCACCCAGGGGTGTATATAACATGGTCGGCTGGTCCCACGTGTGTTTACGTGTCCAGGCCACCCAGGCGGTATCTAACATGATTTGTCCCGAATTGGAATCGCGTACTTTTACGTGCCCTGGCCGTCCAAGGAGGTATTTAGCATGGCGAAACCATGTGCTTTCACGTGTCCAGGCCACCTAGGGGGTATCTAACATTGGCTTCCTGGGGCCTTCCTGGGGGCCTGGAACAGACGTCTGACATGAAGATGTGTTGAGGATGTCTCGAGCGAACCACTTGTTTTCACGTGGATGTCTAGCATAAGGTGGCACGTCCATTGGCACGTTTTGTAGCGCGCCCCCTTGGCACGTCCCGCGGTGCGTCCCCATGGCACGTCCCTTGGCACGTCGCCTGGCGCGTTCCTTGGGACGTTCCGCGGCGCGTCCTCCTAGCATGTCCCCTTGTCAATTAGCTCTGGGGCAGCTACTATGTGCTCAGGCAGCTCGAGCGTAAGATCCAGATCATTTCGGTCAGGACTGGATGCAAAGGAGGATTCGGTCCACACTGCTATAGAGCACAAAGCGGCATGGCACATCGCAATCCGGCAAGGCGCAGCACAGCACAGCCCTCGGCACGGTACATGAAGATCGATACATTCAGCATTGCGTTTGCCCGTCGCCCAATCAGGTGTCTTTGAAACGTTGCCATGTCTTACATGTCTACATTCCTTTCCGGGTTCGTGGGTCGATCATGTTAGTTGGTTCGCGCGTCGATTATGTTTTTGGAAATCGTGATCGATAAATCACGGGGTACGGGACACATTTTGGTCGAAGAAGTGCATCCCGTGCGAGCTGGAACCATGTGTTGTCACATGTCCAGGCCACCCAGGGGGGTATCTAACATGGTGGTCCCGAGCTGAAGCCACGTGCTTTTACACGTCCAGGCAACAAGGGGGTATCTAATATGGTGATCCCGAGCTGGAACCACGTCATTTCACGTGTCCAGGCCACCCAGGTGGGTATCTAACATGGTGGGCCCGAGCTAGTACCACGTGTGCTCACGTGTCCAGGCCACACAGGGGGGTATCTGACATGGTGTTCCCGAGCTGGAACCACGTCGTTGCACGTGTCCAGGCCACCCAGGGGGGTATCTAACGTGGTGGTCCCGAGCTGGCACCACGTGTTTTCACGTGTCCGGGCTACCCAGGGAGGTATCTAACATGGTGGTCCTGTACCACGTGTTTTCACGTGTCCAGGCCAACCAGGGGGTATCTAACATGGGCCTCCTGTGGCTGTCCTGAGGCCTGGAACAGAACGTCGAGAGTTGATTTGTATCCTGTATCGATTCGTTGACTTTCTCGCCTCCGGGCGCCTCCAGGCATTCCTGGGCCCTCCTGCGCTCCAGACGACCGCATGTTCGATGTCACCCCCTGGGTGGCCTGGAACCACGTGTTTTCACGTGTCCAGGCCACCCAGGTGGGTTTCTAACATTGTGGTCCCGAGCTGGAACCACGCGTTTTCACGTGTCCAGGCCACCCAGGGAGATCGATACAATATGGTGGCCCCGAGCTGGAACCAGGTATTGTAACGTGTCCAGGCCACCCAGGGGGGTATCTGACATGGTGACCTCGAGCTGGAACCATGTGTTTTTACGTGTCCAGGCCAACCGGGGGGGTATCTAACATGGGCATCCTGTGGTTTTCCTGAGGCTCGGAGAGGAACGCCCAGAGTTGATTATGAGGATGTCCCGAGCGAAACGCTTGTTTTACATAATGTGTTGAGGATGTCTCGAGCGAAACGCCTGTTTTGCAGAGTTGTGGGAGGCTCGAGCGAAACACTTGTTTTCTCTTGTCCAGGTCGAGATGTCTAACATGAGGATGTGTTATGGATGTCTCGAGCGAAACGCTTGTTCGCACGTGTCCAGGTCGCCCAGGCGGATGTCTAACATGAGGATGTGTTGAGGGTGTCTCGAGCGAAACGCTTGTTCTCTCGTGTCCAGGTCGCCCAGGCGGATGTCTAACATGAGGATGTGTTGAGGGTGTCTCGAGCGAACCCAGGCGAGTGTCTGACATGAGGATGTGGTGTGGATGTCTCGAGCGAAACGCTTGTTTTCACCTGTCCGGGTCGCCCAGGCTAATGTCTAGCGAGAATGGGGGCTTGATGTCTCGAGCGAAACGCTTGCTTTCACGTGTCAGGCAGATGTCTAGCATGAGGAGTTGTCGAGAATGTCTCGAGCGAGACGCTTGTTTTCACGTGTCCAGGTCGCCCAGGCGGATGTCTAATTTGAGGATGTCTTGAGGATGACTCGAGCGCGATGCTTGTTTTCACGTGTGCAGGTCGCCCAGGCAGATGTCTAACATCAGGATGTCTTGAGGACGTCTCCAGCGAAACGCTTGGCGCAGTAGAGTGCGTCGCCTGGCGCGCTGAGACGTCCCCTGGTGCCGCCCTTGCGACGTTCTGGCGTGACGTGCCCTGGCTCGTTCCCCTAGCACGCCCCCTCGGCGTGGCACATTCCCCGTCTCGTCCTCTGTCGCGTGTCCTGGCTCGTGCTCAGGCGTTTCCCCTGCCCGCTCCGTGGCGCGCCCCTTGCCACGTCCCCCGGCATGACGTCCTCTGGCCCGCCCCATGGCCCGCGCCTTGGCACGTCCCGTGGCAGGTCCCTGACACGTCCAGGCCACGTCCCCTTGATACGTTCCCTGACACGTCCCCTGGCGCATCCCCTATTGTGCCACGTGTCGTGTCGTCCCTTTTCGGAGCTGAGTCTGATTTTGAGCTCGAGTGGCTTGACCGTCCCGCACGTTTCGACTTCAACCAGCTCTGGGCCAGCTACTACGTGCTCAGGCAGCTCGAGCTTAAGATCCAGATCAGCTCGGTCAGGACTCGGATGCAAAGGAGGACTCGATCCACAATGCTATAGAGCACAATCGCGGCATGGCATATCGCAGTTCAGCACGGCACAGAACAGCACAGCCCTTAGCACGGTAGATCAAGATCGATATTTTCAGCATTGCAATTGCCCGTCGCCCCATCAGGTGTCTTGAAAACGTTGCCATGCTTTACATGTCTGTATTCCTTTCCGCGTTCGTGGGTCGACCATGTTCATCTTGAGTGGTTTCTCTTACGGTCCCAGGGCCCAGCGAGGGCCCCTGGAGGCCAAAAACACCCAAAAATTGTGTGTCGCGATTTTTGTTGCGACGCGAGCATGTCTGGGTATAGATCTCGTCGCCCTCTGACCCCGCCTCTGGGCCCTACCCCCCCTGTACCCCCCCCCCGCCGAGCACGCGTACCACACGCTGTGCGCCGCACGCTGGCTGGCGCAGGGCGCCGCGCGGCGCGGCCCGAAGAGGCACAGCTGCCCGCTCTGCTGCCGCAGGATGATCACAACGCGGGAGGGCATCGTGGCTGTCGGTGCCGAGTGTCATTCGCTGCTGCCGTGATTCAGGGGGGGGAGAGGTGCTTTTATCAGAGCGTGAATTGCCTGCCCCGCTTTCGCTTGCAGGCGAAGCCAAGACCTACCACGCGCCTCCTCGTCGAGCGGCCTGACCAGTACAGGCCGTAGTTTGGCATCGCTTGGTATCTCTTGGAAGCGAGGGTGGTCAAAAGCGAGGTAGGTTTGTTTGCCCCCGATTTTAGGCCTCCAAGATGGAGTCAGAGCAGATAGGGTCAGAGGATCGCGCCACATCGCCGGTGCATCGGCGATGTGGCTCCATGTGGAGCCCGATTTTCTTCACGCCCACGGCGGCGCCGATGCATCGCCGACGCATCGGCGATGCGGCGCCATCCTCTGGCCCTAGCTATCCGGACCTCATCGCCCTCGTCGCCACCGCTGGATTCGCCCCGAAGTTCTCGTCAGAGCGCACCCCGCGGAGAGGCCTCGGGGGAGCAGCGGTCGCAGTACCGTTATTCTCCCCCCGGTGACCGCGCGGGCGTCCCTGGCCGGGCGGCACTGCAGCGGGCGTGCGGCCAAGATGTTGCTCGGCGGCAGTCTGCAGCTGGGGCTCGGAGGGGGCTCGCGGCGCGGTGAGGCCCTCTCACGGCTGGCTGCTCCTCCGGCGCTGCTCGTGCACCCCTGGCGCCTTCTGCGGGCCAAGAGAGGGCGCGGCTCCTGAATTCGCATCGCTCCTTCTGCCAGTGGCGTTTGCCAGCAGGCCCGTGAGGGCTGAGAGAGCACTGGGTGCTGTTCATGTCCTCTCTGGGAGCCCCGCTGTGGCCTTCGTAGGGCGCCCTGAAGCTCGTAGGGAGCGGAATATCGGGAGCGGAAAAGAGGGGGGTGATGACTAGGGGGGGGTGGATTTCATGGCGCGGGCCATGATTTTCCTCAGATTTCACGGCGCCTCTTCTTATTTTATTACGTCCCAGGCCCCCCCGCTGGGCCGCGCACATGCCGCCGGTCATGATTTGCACCCCCCCCCTCTTGGACACCCCCCTCTTGGCCGCTCCCGAGAATAGCGAGAAGCCCGAATCATTGTCTTGGGGGCAGAGTGAGCGACGCAGAAAACCGGGGTCATCTGCACGGACATCGGCACGCAGGCTGCCCGCGTCAGGTCGCGCGTCAGCGCCCTCGTTTCTAATGTGGCGTGACGCGCTGGCGGCCCGCGTAAGCCGCGGCGCAAGGTCGCTACGTCATCTTGCGTAAGACTAGGTGCCCGAACTCGGTCTGCTTCCAGAGTTGGAACAAGAAATAGTCGTACTCTACGAACTTTTCCAGAGATAACGATACCTTTGCTTGGTCCTCCCCTCCTTCTCTTCCTGCTGTTCTTCCTCCTTCTTCCTCCTTCTCTTCCTCATTCTCCTCCAGTCCTCCTCCATGAGACGGCACCCTCGCGCACCCTCGCGCGCGCGGCTTGCGAGATTGCCGCGCCCGCATTGCACGAGGAAGCTCTACGAGTTCCCGGCGGTAACCAAGGTTGACGGTTTACCGCCGGCTCCCAGTCTTGCGTAAGACCCGCTTCTTCTCATCGCTCTAATGATGGGGCTTCGTTACTTATTCTTACATTCAATAACGGCGTCGTCCTCTGCCGCCGGCCTCGTCTCTATCAACATGGGCAATGCCAGAGCTATGTTGGGATGCTGCGGCGCCGACTTGCGCGGACGGCTGGTATTCGTGACGTCATTTATATGGGATCGTCGCTTCGGGGGCGCCCATCTGGCGTAATTCATGGCGATTGTGCCGTCGGGTGCGCGAATCTTGCGCAATTCATGTCAACGGGGGTCGTGGCCTCGGGGACGCGCATCTGGGTCAGTGTACACTACCATCGTGTCCTTGGAGGCGCGATTGTTGCGTAATTAGTAAAGATGGTTCATGATGGCTCATGGCTTTCGGAGGCGCGAGTCTTGCGTAATTTCTACGGGTCGTGGCCTCGGGAACCCGAATCTAGCGCAATATGCTAAGGATCATGGCCTCAGAGGCGCGAATCTTACGAAATGGAAAAAGGAATGTATATCCGGGGACGCGAATCTCACGTATTTTCACCTGCCACAGGGCCCCAGGGAGTTTTGAGAACCCCAGGAGACCGTGGTAACCAAAGTGGTTATCGGCCTCCCCCTTTCGCGAACAGTAACAATTTACAGCAAAAGGCAGGCGGAGAACTATGGCATTGGAGATTGGAAACTGAAAATTGCATTGGAACGGTGAATGGGACCGAGGAGCTCGGGACTGGGCACCTACGTTGCTGAAGCCCGACATTCGAGGCATGGCGGCTCTGCAAGGGGGCTGTCGGATGTCCCGCTTCTTCATGGTAGCAGCGTGACTGCAGAGGGGAGGGGGGCATCGACCCTCAATCTCCTATTCCGTGTCGATCGGGGCCCGGGCGCCCTAGCCTGTCACGAACGAGGGGCTTTCCCATCGGGGGCCTCTCGCCGATCGACCGGACATGCATCGCCGATTCCAAGTCGCTGTTCCACCCTTGGGTTCTGAGGCAGTCCTCCCCCCCGTTGGAGTAAGTTTTTCGCTGGCGCGAGACCCCATAGCAAGCAGCGGTTTTCAAGGAATCGCATTTGCTGACGACCTACATACATCTGATCCTTTCGACAGTTCTGTGGGTGACAACACCATTTTCTCGCATCTGTGCACTCGTCGGCAAGAGCTGCACATGTGGGGCCCCTTCAGCTCCCGCTCCCCTCACAGCCGTCGGACGGGCAAACCGGGCCCCCCTGCCCACCCTCGAGGCACCTCTCTCTGGCCGTGCGCCCGCACTTGGCGGGGGAAGCGAGGTCTGCACGAACGAAATGGGCACGGAAAGGATGGGAACAATGCTCAACAGCAGTTCTTTTTCATTTTGAACACGACTCGCTGTCCGCGCCGCCGCGTCCTGTGTCCATTTGAGACACAAGGCCGCCGGCCCAACAGCGACCGCTGTTGGTTTGGGACAACATTTGTTGTTGGGCATTGAGGACAATGTCGAGCATTCTCGCTGAGATGGAGTCTCGGTGGCGGATGGCAGGGCGCCGCGGGAGTGGGTTGGCGGGTCACAAGAGCTGACTCGATGACCAGCTCACGGAACCCCCGCGTGGCCATTTCAACCATTTCTCATGTCGCACGAGCGATATTGCCTGGTGGAGATGGGAATTCATGTTTGACGCAGTATTATTGCCGCTGGGAGTCGTGGAGGTCTGATTAGTGTGGATGTCGGCTTGGGATGCCAATGCCCCAGCCTAACCCTACTTGAACATAGAGTTGCAGTCATCACGAAGATGCGTTGCGGGAGCAAGGCAGTCCGCAGCATGCACATCGTAAGCTGGGTTTGCTTATTAGCACATGTGCCCATACAGGAGTTTTGGGCGCAGCCCGGCTGGAGTGGTCCACGAGGGTCCACGCAGGGCAGGAGTTTTCGATGGCCGCTCCACAGAGGTCCTCGCCTTCGGCGCCTCTCGCCCTTGGCGGAAGGCCTGGGGAAGGGGGCGGGATTGAGATTGAGGCGGGTCCGTTGGCGGAAGTAAAATCGAGACGTCAGCATTTGTTGATTCGGGGGGTTTTCCACAGTCGGCCATGTGATTTGTGTTGAGATGGGCGTCAGCCCATTGACTCTGGGAGGAGTCGCGTTCGTGGAAGACAGCCTTGAGAGGGGAGTGGAGTAAACATGCGAGGGGCGCTGTGGCATATTTGAGGGGTCACGAGACCCAGGAGGCGGCTTCGAAATTTGATGTGTGATTACCGCGTTAGTCTCTGCGTGGCACGCGGAGTGTCTAGTTGTCGGCGAGCACGTTCGGCGAGCTACGGCAAGCAGTCGAATTCTGTTCTTCTCGGCTCAGTGTTCTTCTTGGGGACTTGGGGGATGAAAGACATGAACTAGTTAGGCAGAGGGCCCAACCCTGTGCAGATGCGTGTGACGCAGGGCATGGCGCTCTGGGGCGTATGTTGCCCCTCCCGTGATGAGACGCCGTCGCTGGAGTTCCACGCGGGGCACGATCCTCGTGAGGGGTTTGCCAACATGGACGAGGGGGCGCGCATGTGGCCTCTCCCGCTGGGGCCGCAGGTGGAGCTCCTGTTGGGCTCACTCTGTCCGAGGGGTGCGCAGACATGCGCAGGGGGACGCACGTGGCCTCTCCCGCTGGGGCCGCAGGTGGAGCTCCCTGCAGGGCACGACCCGTGCGAGTGGTCTGCCGAAAACTTGCGTGGGGGCAGGTGGATCTCTTGGTGAGGCACGATCCGTGAAGAGGGGGGTGCCGAAATGCAAAGGAGGACGCATGTGGCTTCTCCCACTGGGGCCTCAGGTGGAGCTCAATGGGGGCACGATCTGCATGCGAGATGTGCCGACATAGACGGGGGGGGCGCATGTGGCTTTTCACGCGGGGGTCGTCAGTGGAGTTTACTTCTGGGGCACGATCCGTGAAAGGGTGTGCCGAAATGGGCGGGGGGCGGGGGGTGGCGCGCATGTGGCCTCTCCCGCTGGGGCCGTAGGTGGAGCTCCATCTGGAGCACGTTCCGTGTAAGGGGTGTGCCGAAATTCGCAAGGGAACGTATCGCACGCTCCGCTCAGTCCAGTGGAAGTACCGAGATGGGCAGGGAGACGCATGTGGCCTATCGTAGTGTAGCCTTAGGTGCAGCATCTTGTGCGGCATGATCCGTATGATGGGCGTGCCGAAATGTGCGGGGCCGAAGGTGGAACTCTTATGGAGCACGGTTTGTATGAGTGGTGTGCCGACATTGGCGTGGGACGCATGTGGCCTCTCGCACATGGGCCGTACTCCCTGTGAGGCACGTGACGCGTAAGGGGTGTGCCGAAATGGGCCGGGGAACGCGTGTGGTCTCTCCCATTGGGGCCGAAGGCGTAGCATTTTGCGGGGCACGATCCATGTGGTGCGTGTGTGCCAACATGGGCCAGGACGAGGATGAGGAGGAGGAGGAGGAGGAGGAGAAGGAGGAGGAGGAGGAAGCGGGAAAGATGATAAGACACCCGGGCCCCGCGAATACGAAGCGAGGGCCCAACACCGAAAAACTTAGACAAAGAGCAGGGGAGGGCTGGCTCTGCCAGCAGCAATGGCACTGACGAAAACCCTTGAGTCTATGCCAAGGGAGGCTCAAGGAGTAGGAGGCAGCAACGGCACCGGATGACGATGAAGTTGTTGGCACAGGATGCGCCACACCGCGCGTCCACCTGCTCCCACCACGCGAGGCGGACACCTCCGCCGCCCCCTCCGGCAAGACGCCGTGGAGCTCCCCAGCGGCGTTCAACGTTGGTCAGTCCCGTGCTGCGGTGACCCCTGCCTCGAAAGAGGCTGCACCGCACCACGTGCAGGGGCTGCTCTAGTGGGCACCAGCACCTACCTCCTGATGCCACTGCCGCCTTCGCAGCGGGCCGCGCCAGCGCCTGCTCGGGAGCCCGGCGTGGCTGCGCTGGCGCCCGCTGCTCTCAGCGGATGCCCGGCGCATGCGCCTGCGGATCGTCTGAGGCGGGCCTCGGTCGGCATCCTCTCTGCGCCCCTGACCGGGCCGCCCCCTGGAGTGACCACCCCCCCGAGTCAGCGCCCAAGGGCGCCGCTGGCGGTGGCGCCGCGCTGGCGCCCAGCTGTCCACGGGCGTCTCGGCATGTCGACAAGCTGGCAGACATGCTTGCGGATCATCTGGGGCGGGCTTCAGAGTTTGCTTCGGGCCGCCCCGCGGGGTTACTGCCCCCCCGTCGTGCTAGTGCCCAGTTGGCCGCAGGCGCCTCCCGCACCCGCGCGCCGCGCCAGCGCCCCAGCTAGGAGCCTGGAGGGCGCAGCGGTCCATGATGCCACCGGCCTCCTGGGCGCCGACGTGCGCCGCGCAAACGTTGGCACCACCAGCATTTGGTACCCAGCTCATGCCCTCCGCGGACAGCCAGGCCCTGGAGGCGCCAACACCAATGGTGATGCGGAAATGGGAAGGCAGGTTGCCCGTGCCCATCAATGCAGCCTTGCCGAAGACGTGCGACGTGACGAACCTGAAGCTCAGGATGGGCGCGTTGCACACGAAGGGACAGGATGCTGCTGCAGCGCCCCGAAGGATTGCAAAAAAACCAAGGATTGCAAAAAAAAAAAACGAAGGATTGCAAAAAAACCAAGGATTGCAAACAAAAACCGAAGGTTTGTTTGCAACCCTTCACCCAGGGTTTTTTTGCAATCCTTTGCAATCCTGGGTTTTTTTTTGCAGTCCTTCGAAAAAAGCCCCCCGCAGCTGCAGTACCGCTCGAAAGTGAGCAGCACGCCCACACGCACGGGCTCCGAAAAAGCCGCCGGCGGGCCCCGGGCGCCGGGCCCTGCATGGCCGGCGGCGGTCTGCTCGGCGCGCTTGCCGTGTCGGGCCAGCGGCTCCCTCGAAGGATTGCAAAAAAACCCAGGATTGCAAAAAAAAAAAAAAAAAAAAAAAAAACCTTCGAAGGATTGCAAAAAAAACCAGGGGGGTTTTATGCAATCCTCCGTGCAAGGGTTTTTTTGCAATCCTTTTTTTGCAATCCATCGCACGCCCTGGCCCCCCGTCCGGCGGCGACGCAGTTAGCCGGGCCCTTCCTACCTGGCGGTTGCCGCGCGCCGCACTGGGCCCATCGCAGGCGGGCGCTTCCGCCGACCTCCTGGCGAGCTCGATGGCCTCGTTCCGTCGTCCTTGAGCGTCGCGGGCTGCAGGCCCCGCATGCGTGCCGCTTCCTGGGGCTCTTCCTCGCCCTCATTCCCGAGGATTTCCGCACTGACATCTCTATCGTCCTCGTTGTCCTCCGATGTCCTCCTCTCCCGCTGGCAACGCCAAGGCAAAGGACATCGCCCCTCTGCCAGGACTCCTCGACCGAAGGGCCGCGGGCCAGCCAGGCAGCACCGCTCCCCGAGCCCACCAGGCCGCAGGTCTGCCAGGCACCAAAGCTGCCCGAGCCCCCGACGCAGGCGCGCCCTCCCGAGGGAACTCCTGCGCCAGAAGAGGCTCCCGTGCCTCTTCGGGTCTGCGCGGGCCCCAGCCGATCTCACGTTGCACGCGCGTTCGGCGCGTCGCCCTCGTCGGCCGCCAGCCGCAACGAGAAGCCCGCGCAGGAGCGGTCGGGCTCGCCGACGACACAGTTCACCTGGTGTAACGAGGTAATGCGCCAGTCCGCCTCGGCGGAGCCCCCCGCCGCGACGTCGGTGTAGCACGCGTTCAGGGTGCTGTCCCTGCGGTAGGTGGCCAGTCACTTCGAGTTGCTGACGCAGGTGTGGCCGCTCTCGCCCACGATCCACTGCAGGAAGCGGCGGGGCTGCCCGTGCCTCAATCCGCCTAGCGCGCAGTGCTGGTCGCGGCGACACCTGGCGCCCCGGTCTGCGCGCCAAGTCGGGCGCGCGGGAGCACGAGGCAGTCAGCGCCGTGGTCGGCGCGGCTGCCAGATTGGCGATCGGCGCAGCTGCTGTTGCCGCTGCTGCTACTGCTGCTGCTGCTGCTGCTGCTGCTGCTGCTGCTGCTGCTGGCGCAGCCCGCGGCGAAACGGGGCTGCGGTCGGCGAGATTGTTCGTGCCGCGGTCGGCGCTGCCGCCGTGAAATCGGCTGCCGTTGCCAGGCGGCGCCACTGTCAGCGAGGCTGTTGGGGCAGCCGTCGACGAGGCTGTCAGCGCCGCCGTCGTCGTTGCGGGCGCTGCCGTCGCATAGTCAGCGTCGTCGCTGCTGGCGAGGTCTTCGGTGCCGCTGCCGGCGCGGGTAGAGGCGACAGTCGGCAGCGATGCCAGGCGGGCGCCAGCGTAGAAGGGCGCCGAGTCGCCATCGCCGAGCGCCAGCGCCGGGCGCCCGGCATCGGGCGGACGCCGGCACCGAGAGGCGCCCGGCATCGGGCAGGCGCCGGCGCCGCGCGGCGCCTGGCTGCCGCCGCCGGGCAGCGGGCGGGCTCTGGCGGGCCCTCCCTCGCCCGGCGGAGCTGTCGGGGGCCCCGCCCAGCGGCGGCCCGGTCGCCGCCGGCGCGCACGCCGGGCGCGCCGCGGTGCCCGACGGGTGGCCCCGCGCTCGCCGCAGGGCCAGGCAGCGGTTGCCAGCAGCGCCGCGCGGCAGGTGGTGGCCGGCGCCGCGCGGCGCGATCCCCCTGCCCGCGCTGCCTGGCAGCGGCGCCGGCGGCGGCCTCGCCGCCGCCCCTTCGGCCGTGGGGCTCCCCCACGGCGGCACGGCCCGGCCGCGCGCGGGAGCAGCTTCTGGGCTCCTGGAGTGGGCCTCTCGGGGTGCGCCGCGCCGCTGGGCCACCGAAGGCCGGCTCCCCGCTTGACCCCGCAAGGGGCTTCGGCCCCCCGGTGAGGGTAGCGAGAGAGAGAGAGGGGGAGAGCGAGAGCAGGCAGGAGCAGGAACAGGAGAGAGGGGGGGGGAGAGCCCGCGCACTCCTGAGGGCTGAGAGAAAGCCTGGCATCTGCAGCGACGAACTAAGAGGAGGGGGAGTATGGACGGAGGGGAGGAGCAAGAGACGCGCGCTGCGGATGCAAAGCGAGGAACCAACGCAGGAGGGTTGGGAGCATACGGCGTGCTTCGAATAGTCGCGCCCT